ATTTAGGGGGCATTTGTTGGCACCAAAACTTGGCAGCCACCTTAGCAGTGTCGTGGACCAGTGAGGAGCCAACTAGTGTTTAGTATGGTTCCAAGAAAAGACGGCCAATTAAGAAACAAAAGGAGAAAATATAGGAATTCAGCCACCTTATCCAATAAGGTTGTTGCTGAAATTTGGTAACTAATATTTGGATTAATTCAAATATTAAGTTTAAACTGGGACACTAGAGATCTAGCTAAATTAAAATCCCTATGAAATAGGGATTTAATTGGAGAAGAAATTCCAACAAATAAAGAGAAGTCGTATGAATTCAAAAGTTATAAAAGGTTATTTAGGCCATTTAAGGGAAGTAATTCAGCCCAGCTTAAAGAAAGGGGTTGTTAAAAATTAGCAACTTCTTTAGCAACCTTTCAGCAACAATTCGACAATTTGTATTTGACTAAATCAAGGAGAGTCTTCAGCAAGTATTTTCGATTGAAGTCAAGTGAAGCAAAACGAGGCAAGACGTAGAAGATTACTCGGTTGTGGCCTAGTTTGAGTAACAAAGTGAAGAAAATCAAGGGAAAGAGGATTTTTAGAGCAATTAATTAGGGAATAAGTTGATTTAAACTTTTATAAATAGAAGTATTGTATTCTTTCCAATTTGTCCAGCACCACCCACAAAACATGAATCAAAATTCATTCAATTGATTCTACGTCATCTTATCAATTCTTTATTTCTTTTGTCCAAATGGCAATTTTCAATCAAAGAAATTAAGTTCAAGTAACTTACTCTTCTTTTGTAATGTTTTAATTATGCTATTTACATTATCAGTCATTTGTTTCATGCAAACGGATTCAATGGCCAATCTTTGATCAGATTCGCGTCATGTTAATTCAGCCAGTTTATTTCATTCATTTACATTCCATGTAATTTCCATTCAGCCATTTCCTTTATTGTCATTTCAATTCAGTCGTTTATTTTTCATGCTATTTTAATTCAGCCTTCTTTATTTACCGTCAATCTAAATTCAGCCCTTTCATTTAAATTACTTACTTTAGTAATTGCATTTTTATTTCTTTTAAACACCTTAGATAAAAAGTCATTGCACTAAGGCATAAAAGAACCTTGCTGGGAGTTCTTATTAGTCACTCTCCCACACATTCGCCTAAAAGTCAGCCATCGAAAAAAGGGATAGGCTAGTGTTCATTTCATAATTTTGAGTATTTTATACAAATACTCTGGCATGCCCGCAAGAGTCCATCGACCAGCTTAAAAACTGCTTGAACAGTAATAAAATAAAATAACATATAATTTAGGAAAATGATTTCACGGGGTTGATAAAATTGTCTCCATCTTTTTTCTGGACCAAAAAAACCCAATAAAACTTGCCACGTCATAAAAAAATGTGCACATGTAAGTAATTTAAAAAACCTACCCTTCTCCCCCACCTTCTCTCAATTATTGCTAAGGATGGCAACGGGGACGGGTTTGGGCAGGTGTACCCTCCCCGGCCCCGCAATAGTTTAAAAACCCCGCCCTCGTCCCCACCCAAAACCTCAAAAAAGGGAGAATTTTCCATCCCATCCCCGTAACCGTTTAACATTTTTACCCCCGCGGGTACCTACCCCGCCCTGTTTAAGACTATAATTTATTTTTTGTTGAAATAGATTTGCTCTATTTTTTTTCCCTCATCTTCAATTCTTCACCATTGCAACTTTCATTTTAATCAAATTCATTTGTTACTTTAATATTGTTATATAGGGTACTTAATATATATTGGTAAATATATATACTATTGAAATAAAGGTACTTGAGTAATTTACCTATCTAAACGGGGCGACGTCCCCCTGCCCCGTCACCAAGCCTGCGCGAATTTTTATTATATGAAACTATTCCTGCCCGTATAAGCAAAACGGTGCCCCAAAACTGCCAAAAAGGGGGCGGGGCAGGGAGGGTCAAATTGCCATCCCTCAGCAGTAGAATCAGCCAGTGAGAGCATCACCTTAACCACCGCCAGCCACGGCACCACCAAAAATCAACCCTTCTCTTAATCGCTACTCTCTATGTTTACCCGTCACTACAACCACCGGCAACCACCGATACGCTCTCTCTATATATTTTTGGTTTAATGATGGTAGATTTTGAGTTTAATGTATATAACAGTAAGTGTGCTTATATATATATATTGAGTAGAAGGGTTGAATGTGTTTGGTAAAACTAGTGTTGTATATGGGTTGTCTGAAACTCGGGACTGTGTGTGGTTAATTTAGAAATGAATCTTGTAAATGAAGATAGGTCATGTAGATGATAAGTCTTATTTGTGAATTCTTGTCTAATTCTACGGTTGGTTAATTACAAGGTGGGTTTGGCCGTTGGACAGAATCTAAAAATGTGAAAGTTTAAGAAGAAGAATTTAATTTCCATCAAAGAACAAGGACCATCTAGAAATTTCTCGCATAAAAGAGTTGCACTATTGATATGTAGAGAACCAAGTACATAGTCCGGAAACTATTTGTGTCGACAAATCACAAAGCGACATAAAAAAAAAAAATAAAAAAAAAAAAACTTATTTACAATCACATAGATTTAACACATTTGCTTTAGGTCGTTTCATGATCGACGGTCCGAAAAATAACTGGTACAATGACATACTTAGCAGTTACCAATGGCTGTTTCCATGCTGATATCTAGGAATAACCGTTTTAGTTGGGGTTGGGGCTTGGGTTTGGGTTTGGGTTCAATGTTTCGGGTTCACTCTTGTGTTCACGGCCTTGGACCTTGCTGTTGTTGCATACTATTTGGGCCGCCTGTTGTTGGGCTGCTTGGCCCCAAGGTCATGTACATTTTTATACATATATAATATTGCTTAAACATTCGCCTTGCTCGTATTGCAAATTAAATCTTAGGTGCTGAAAAAAATAGCAAACAACCTTCAGGTGACTTGTTTTTATATATACACAGACGTATATGTGTATATGTGTGTGTGACTCTGCGTATATATATAAGAGAGAGAAAGAGAGGGCTGAAAGATGATTAAAAGAAGTGTTATTGCCTCTTCAAAGTGTAGATATGGTGGTGCTGTCTCTCTTCATAAAGGTATCCGTAAGTCTGCAACTTCTCTTAAGCATTGTGTTAATTTCTGCATTGATTATCCATTTGCTTGCAACAATTTAATGGCTTCGTTTCATTCCCAAACTGGTAGTCAAACCCGATTTATGCAGACTGTCAGAAATCAATTCAGATTTGAGTTCACAAACCTTATGTAATGTTGTGATATATATGTATATATATATAATTAATGTTAAAAAAAATAAGGCAAGTGGGCCCCACCCATGTTATAAACACACAAAAGGTCATAAGGTCATTACACGAGTCCACCTTTCTCTCTCTCTCTTGCTGTAACCAGACTGCTCTCGGCAGTTTCCATTTTTTTTTTTCTTTTTGCAACTTCAAACCTTGATCTTGCTTTTTCCTTTGGGAATTTGGTAGAATATTGTGAAGCAAAGTTGTTGAGCTCTTCGAGGCCGTTAATTTGATAGGAGCCAATCATCATTTGGTGCACTCTAGAGAGTTCAAAATTCTAGGGTTCTTGGGCTCAAATTGGGGGTTTTCATCAATTTGAGGTAGGGGTGTTCTAATCTACAATTTCTTGACCTTTGGTGAATTTTTCCCCTTAAATTTGATTCTAAGTATGCTAAATTTTAATTAATTAACTTGTTGTTGTTGTAGTTCTTTATAATTACAATGATAATTGTGCTCCTTATATTATTTGAGTTCATATACATATCTATTTTCATTACAGTAAATGAGCATGCTTAGTGTTTGATGTGTTGTATGTTCCATGATTATTGATTTATTTATTGTCTTGAAGAAAAATGGATGCTATGGTTATAAATAAATAAATAAATAAAGGAAAGGAATGTTTAGAAATTTTCATTAAATTGTGATGATGATGTAAATGGAAATGTGTGAAAACATATAGTTAAATTAATGATTTGAAGCAAGAAGCATTCATGCATCCATTGGGAAAGAGAAAGGGGGAAAAATAATTGTTAGAACAAATAAAATTGTTTTGGGGAAAATATTTTCTAAAAGTGTTGCGAAAACCGGACCCCTAGGATGCGCCTAGTGGTCCGTGATGTTGGTGTAGTCTAGAAGGGAATGTAGTTGAGTTAACTAGGCCCGATGCAACGCCTTGGAGGTGCCTTGTGGTCGTGGATAGTTAACCAACCTTCCTTTCGTGACGCCATGGAGGTGCCTTGGGTCGGACTACACTAACGGTTTGGTTGTTGAAACGGAATTATTTCGGAAATGGGGAGTGACATTTGCATAACATTGCACTTCATGACATCGTGGTAAATTTGTGATTGGTTGATATTTGTTATATACTTGTTATTGTGGTTGAGAATGTGCGTTTCCCGATAACATGATCCCGTTCACTTTTTATCTATTCATTGCATGGATTCACGGGAACATAAGAAGTGTGTCTTAGACACTTCCTACTGAGTTATGCTCACCCTCTTATTTTTAACATTTTTTTCAGGATATGGAAAAGAGATGGCGGACGACGGTCCACCACAGGTTTAGATGAGCTTGAAGACCCATTCTATTTTGTTATCTTTTGTATTAGACTCTAATATTTTGTAAATGTAATATTAACTACCTTGTGACACTTTAGTTTAATTAGTATAATGTTGTAAGCTATGGACTTTTAATTCTAGCTACATTTTATGGACTGTAATTTGATGTAACTTAAGTGGGTTCCATGTTTGGATGAGATGGAAGAACGGGACTTTTATATGTATGTAACCATTTTGAGAATGTAGTATAATATTTGAATTGTGCGTTGGGACAGGATAAGTTAGATTTAAGGCCCAGTGAGACCATTGCATTTATTTTTGTATTTCTACAGGTTGTTGAGGGACATTTTCTACGAAAGTCATGCCGAAATTTTTATAGATTTTTATTATTATTTTGGTATTTATTCGAGTCGTTACACCTTAGTGATGCACTGGCAATGTTTGATGAAATGTCTCAAATGCAACCTCTTCCTTCAATTGTGCATTTCACTAAATTGTTAGGGGCCATTGTGAGAATGAAACATTACATCACTGCTATCTCTTTGCTTAAGCAATTGGAGTCCTCTGGAATAGCTGAGCCAGATGCTTATACTCTAGCCATCTTGCTCAATTGTTACTGCCACATGAATCGTGTCGATTTGGCTTTCTCTGTTTTGGGAAGCACTTTGAAGCTTGGTTATGAAGTGAACAGCACAATGCTCACCACTTTGATGAGGGGACTCTGTAGGGAGGATAAAATAGGTCAGGTAGTAGAGTTGTTTAATGACATGGGGGCAAAAGGATTTCAACTTAATATAGTTACTTGCAGAACGATTATAGATGGTTTGTGCAAAACGGGGAGCACTAGCGCGGCTATTGAGTTGGTTAAGAAGATGGAAGAGAGAAATTGGGAAACCAGTGTCACCATTTATAGCATGATCATTGACGGTCTTTGTAAGGACAGATTGGTAGCTGAGGCCTTTAACTTCTTTTCGAAAATGATCCATAAAGGCATTTCGCCAAATGTTATTACTTACACCTCATTAATCCATGGCCTATGCAATTCAAACCAGTGGAAAGAGGCTACCAAATTGTTGAATGAAATGGTGAATGAAAAAATCAAACCGAATCTAGTAACTTTCAATATATTGGTGGATGCAATTTGTAAGGAAGGGAAGGTTGCAGAAGCAGTTGAAATAGTTGAAGTGATGATTCAAAGAGGTGTGGAGCCTAATACAGTCACTTACAGTGCACTGATGGACGGTTATCGTTTGCTAAGCAAATTTCATGAGGCAAAGAAGATATTTGATTCGATGGTTGGTAGGGGTTGTTCCCCTAGTATTCAAAGCTATAACATCTTGATTAATGGATATTGTAAGAAGCAAAGAATGGATGACGCTCTCAGAATTTTTCACAAAATTTCCCGGATGGGATTGGTTCCTAATACTGTTACTTACACCACTCTTATAGGTGGTTTCTGCCGTGCAGGAAAACCTCTAGTTGCGCAACAACTTTTAAATGAGATGCGAGCCTGTGGCCAACATCCTAATGTTATAACATACAGTACTTTGTTAGATGGATTGTGTAAGAACCAATGTCTGGCTGAGGCAATGACCTTGTTTAAAGACATGGAAGAAAGTGGACTGCATCCTAATATCGTGGTTAACAGCATCCTCATTGATGGTATTTGCAGAGCTGGAAGCATTAAAGATGCAAAGGAACTCTTTTATAGTCTTCCTTCCAAAAGGTTGCAACCTAATGTTCACACGTATAGTATTATGATCAATGGACTTTGTAAGGAAGGGTTGTTAACTGAAGCAAACATGTTGCTCAGGAAAATGGAAGGGAGTGGTTGCTCACCCAATGGTCGCACTTACAATATAATTGTGCAGGGATTTCTTCAAAACAATGAGACGTTAATGGCAATGCAACTTCTTCAAGAAATGGTTGAGAAGGGGTTCTCTCCCGATTCATGTATTGTGAGCCTTTTATTGGATTTATCAAATAATAGTGGATTAGATCAGTCAGTTTTGGAGATGCTCAATAAGTTTCTATGATCTCTATTGGGTTCTCTTATGTTAGGTGGAAGATTCATAGTTGTTGGCCTTGCAGTGTGCTGTATGTATGGCCTATTGATGCTTGTATCAGTGTCTTCTACATGTTTTGGGGGTGAAATTGTTGTTCCATGAGAAGTTCGAAGGAGGGACCCTGAGTTGGGTGATGTTGGGGAACTAAAGGAGAATGCTGGAGGGATTTGTATGTAACCGATTGACTAGATGGGATAAGGAAGGTGGCTAGGTGAATCTGAAGATAGCAAAGTTGCTGCTGAAGCAGATGGGAATGGTGTTTCAATGACCCCAAAGAGATACGAGTTTCCAAGCTTTGAAATTTACCAAAGACTGTGTGCTTATCATCTCTGCCTTTGTCTGTCAGGATGTTTCAAGAATGGTACCTCATCAACTTCATTTTCCCATTTTGTTTACACTTTGTACAATGAGGGTATGCTGTACTTACTTTTCCTCTTAATTGCTTGATGTTAATAGACTTATTCTCATTACCAACACTTTCGAATCCATCAAAGATTTTTGTTGCATCTTCACTTTCCTTCAAATTGTTCTGATTTACCCATTGCACTGACACAATATCTGATTCCAATCTCTTAGCTTGCAAAGGATTCCTCCTTTGGTCTGTAAGGTAGAGTGAGTTTCTGGAAGAGTTGATGCCTCCTTTGGTCTGTATCCAACCCTTATAACAATGACAATATTGAAAACATTCATCCGGTAAGTTTGTATTCAAATTTTATTAGTGAGGTTAAACTTTACCGTGTCAAAGAACCCTTACAACAATGACAATGTTGGAAACATATCATCGGTTAGTTTGTATTCGAATTTTATTTGTATTTTTAAAATTTTGATAAATTTTTAATATCTATATTAATTGTTTTGTTTTGTTTTCCTAGGAGTATGGTATGGCTATTGTGGATATTGTCTTCCAGTGTTATAAAACATGTTATTTGTGTATTGAGCTAATCTGTAGTTCTTCATGTACACAAAATTGAAGTGGTTGGGAAGCAGCACAAAGAAATACATTGACGTCCAAAATTAATGTTGGACAATCTCATTTATGTAAGGATAAAAATGATGATGATGATGGAAAATTTTAACATATTAGAAGCACTTGATTTGGATCTGGACAATCTTAATGATCTCCTAACTATGCTGATCGTGAAGAAGATTGGAAAATTATATATTAGAGTCAACAAATAAAAGTTCTCATGATAATATGTTAATATGAATGTTTTTTTTTTTTTTTTTTTTGCCTAATCAGAACAACACATATGTATGTATATTAAGAAGCAGAGGTGGATAAATCCTCTTGAAATACATCAAGAAGCCAACCTGGCCAATCTTGCCAATGCAAATCCATATTTTCCATAAAAGACATTCAATATCTTGAACAATGTATACTTTTGTCGTTTTTATGCTGAATTTTTAATGTTTTCAAATAAAAAAATCAGATTATATTCATTCATTTATAAACATGTATTTTTTCCTCACCGTATGTTACCAAGTATGATAAATCGACCATGTTAGCTAAACAACACATAAATATCATCAATAGTCTACAATTAGCAACAAATATAAATATCATCTGTACTAGTATATATCACAAGTTGGTTATTTTCAATTTCATTCACACATTCAAAATTCATATTGTTATGCATGTCGTGTTTATAGTATACTCAACGAGATTAGTAATCATGGATCTATTGTTGCAACCATTCCTGTTGGTGATTCACTCTCTTTATCCATTTCTTCAAGAGGAGTACATGAAGAAAGTAAGGGCATACCCTCACATTACATTACAAGCCTCACACATGTAGTAGAGAAAACCCATTTCCAATGCAGAGAGAAGATAAGGTTGAGGAGGTCTTTCATGTAAAGAATAAGCTGCTTACGAAAAAATAAGCTGCTGCATCATGTAAAGAATAACCTCCTGAGCAGACATTTGGATCCCTTGGTGTAGCCTATAGTTCCTCTCCCCCCATAAAGCCCAGATGGCAGCTGAGAATACCATCCTGCTCAAGTTGGACCTATGAGAATCAACACCAAATTCGTCAATACAGGCATTCCGTATCATTGTGCAACTGTATTGAGGTAATGACACTCTGAGCTTGGTGCATGTTGGAGCTCAGAAATCTAGTTGCCAAGACCCATTGTTAATAAATCAATCACATTCAGAGAGGCATTTCTGGGAAATTGGAATTGTCTCACACACCTGTGTCCAAATTTTTGTAGGAGAGTGCCACCATCACACTAAGTATCATTAAACAAGCTGATTGAATCACCAGAAGAGATTTTATAGGTAACATGCTTCTGCATTACCTCTCTGACAGAGACTAAGTGTTTCCAAGTTGTAGAGTGATATGATGAAGAAATGGCCAGCCAATAAGAAGACCCTCTGATGTACCTAGAGTAGAACCATGAGATCCAGATTTTATCTTTTCTGAGTAACAAGTCCCACACATGACAGCAGGAGAATGCCTTCTGAACATCACTAATCTTTCTGATGCCAAACCCACCTTCAGCCTTAGGTTTACATACCCTATCCCATTGCAGATAATGAGATCTTCTGACCAGATCCGTTCCACCCCACAAGAATCTTTTAACTTTCTTTTGAATGGAATGCAGTGTAGCAACAGGAAGATGAAACACTGAGCAGCAATAGGAGATTTTGAATGGAATGCAGTGTAGCAATAGGAAGATGAAACACTGAGCACCAATAGGAGATTGTGGGAGTTACCGCAGATTTGATGAGCTCACTTCTACCAGCTAAGGAGAGGTTTTTGTTGGTCAAAAGCATTTAGTCTGGAATCCACCTTATCGATTAGATCAGTGCAGTGAATTCTCTTCAATCCCACACAATGCAGAGATAGGCCAAGGTATTTAAGAGGAAAGACTCCTTGCCTGAACTGGAAGATGTTCAAAATACTCCTTTTTCTTCTAACACCCTTTGAGAAGAAGAGGGATATTTTTTCCTTGTTACCTGTAAGGCCTGAGGCAACTTGAAAAGCATCCAGCCTTTTGTGTGTTTGGAGCAGCTGAAAAAAATGCTTCAACATCCTGCACACATGTTACTCTAGATTTCTGAGCAACCAATATTTCTTCATTGGAAATAGCCAATTCCAAATTTTGTCTATATGTACCTTCAGTCACCAGGTCCATCATGGAATCTCACAACATTCCAATCACCACTGGCTAACCAACAACCATCCTCTCCTCCCAAAAGGTGAGGGTTCAAGTCCCAAGTGGGGGCAATGTGCACACGGGTGTTTGTTTGCTTTACGCCTTTACCTTGCTAAAACAAACAAAAAAAATTGCATTTTGAGCTCACTTTGAAACATGTTATTAGTGTCACTATAGAACTTGTTTCAGCTCTAAATTTATTAATAATTTATATTCAATTATTATTTTTCACTATTCAATTAATAATTTAAATCAAAATGTACCAATTCACCTACCATGCTTTCCCAAGAAATTTTAAGAAATGCAAAAATTAGACTCAATTGGCGGACATCTATATAAGAAGTATGAACTAATAAATTAAGTTAGTGATTACGGTTGTTTAATTACACCATAAAAAATATGAACTAATAAATTAAGTTAGTGATTACGGATGTTTAATTACACCATAAAAAATTTGAACTAACAAATTAAGTTAGTGACCTTCAAACTCAACTCTGTCCTACCATTAATGTAATGTCCATTGGCTGAATTTTGAATTAGATTGGATAATTGAATAGGGAACCTAAAATTCTTAAAATTGGAATAAGTTTGATAGTGATCTGGAAATCATGATAATTTGTATATGTAATGAATTGTGTCTACTTTAAAATTGTCCATTACCATCACTCTTTAACTAACTGAATAAGTTGATAGTATAATACTAATTCTAATGGTCAATTAATTTATATTTATGGTGTACTACCACCCAATTCAATTATTATTTTCTTTAAATTTTATTATTTTAATGATATTGACACTCCAGGTACTCAGACGTTCATCCTTTCTTTTAAAATGAAATTGTAAAAAAGTCCCCAAACTCACAATATATAGTTCTTTTTAAATGCTATTATTACCCAATTTTGTTTGAGGTACCAGAATTTACACCAAAAAAAAAATAAAAAAAAATAAAAAAATAAAAACACTAGGAACACCACGATTCATCGATCTAGTCATTTACGAAGAGAACGTGAGAGAGGGATGAAGGAACATGAGAGAGAAAAGAAAAAATAAAATTCAACAGAAGTGTTCAGAGATGATAATAATGGAATTAAAAAATATAATATTTTTTAAGAATTTTTGGTTTTGTAACTTGTGAAGAAAAGAAAATGGAGCCCTAGACTTGGAGCACAAATATTAGCGGCCTAAATAAAATTGCAATTCGAAAGGTATTAATGAAATTAAAAAATATAAACTTTTTAAAAAAATTTAGGTTTTGGAATTTTTTGTAATTTGATTCTAGGAGAAGAGAAAAGTAGAGTCCTAGGATATTTGGAGCGCCAATATTAGAGGCTAAATAAAATTAAAGAATGTCCGAAATTATTTTTGACTCGCTACTCCTTCTAAATTTCTAACAAATGAAGTTTTAGATGGAAAACAACAAAATAGCCAACCAGCTTCAGCCTTCAGGTGACTTGTTTTTACACACAAACACACACAGAGAGGATGAAAAGAAGTGTAATTGTCTCCACAAGTTTTAAATATGAAAAGAAATGAAAAGAAGTGCTTTCACTCTCCAGAAAGGTACAACTTCTCTATAAGTATTGTCTTTTTTTCTTCATTGATTATCCATTTGCTAACGACAATTTGAGGGCTTCATTTCATTCCCAAACTGATCAAGATCAAAACCCTCACGGTATGAGTAGTCGAAGTCGGTTTATGAAGTTTCTGAGAAATCAAACGGGAGTTGATTTCACTAACCTTGACGATGCACTGGCAGTGTTTGATGAAATGTCTCAAACGCGACCTCTTCCTTCAATTGTGCATTTCACTGGGCCCGTTTGAATTGCGATATATGTTATGGTTTGATATGATATGAAAATAATTGTTTTAGTATTGGTATGTTTTTAGTAGAAATCGAAACCATATTTAGTAACGACTGTTTTATTTTAATAATTGTATATCAAAAATATGAAAACGCGTTTGGTAATGTCATGCATTTTAAGGAATGTGAAAACAAAACACGTTTGGAAGTTTAGTTTTGTTATAAAAAATTCTGAATCAATAACAAGATACCTGTTTAGTAAAAACTGTTTTGTTTTTTGTTTTGAATAATTATATATATGAATACAATTATAAAGTTTATATGTATAATAGTCCATTTTTCTTTATGATTTGAGATAATTTGTTTAAAAATATATATATATTATCAAAACATTAAAAAGAGTTGGGAAAAAAATTATGAATAAATTTACATGTATAAATAAGATCATGTGGGATGTTTATGAGGCATATACATGAGAACCTACAACTAAACTACAAATCTAACTTTGTAATAATCTTTCAATGAGAGAGAGAGATCCTTGTAATTGAAACTAACATATATATTATATAAATTAATTATGAATGAGAGAGAGAGATCCTTGTAGTTGAAACTAACAAGAAGCAAAGCCAAAACGTTGATGTTCTTAAATTGGTCAAAGCTAAGGTTTGGTGGTCATACGTTGATGTTCTTGAATTGGTCAAAGTTAAGGTTTGGTGGTCATTGAAGCTTGTGAATTGGTTTACTTCTGAGATTAGTTTGAAATTTTCTGTAGGAGATCCTTGAAAGTGCTATATTTTTATTGTTAACTCATGAGACCATTTCCCCTTTTCTTGAGTATTTATTTTGATAACCAAACAACTTGCTAGAAAAAATTTTGCCATTCAAACAAGTACTTGAAAATATTTTGTAAGATTTTAATCAATCATAAATAACACACTAAACCACAAGTTTTTTTTGTACATCACAAACTTAATAAATTGTTGTTGCACCATTCACATATATACTTGCACATAGAGAGCAAGAATTTCCTTAAAAATAGTATGTGAGTACACACACACTTCATTATACTAACATAAAATGTACACACAACTGAAGATCACTAAAATTCATTCCATAAAATGCACACACACTTCTTTATACTTGCATAGGCCTCCATTTGATTAACTTAGAGATCACTAGCTTCCTGGAGTTGCAGAAACTGGAGAATAATTCCTATAAATCCCACTGGTGCCACTGCCCACAACTTATTGCCATGTCCTTCGATGTAGTGCCAGTTCTTCCAAGAGCATATATGGATTACATAGTACTGGGTTGACAATAGTTTATGATTCTGCAAAAAAGGATATAAGGAAGCATTAGGAAAAAAGAAAAAAATGAATTTACACTCCAAAGCAAGACATTACCTATAGTAGTAAAATATAAAGCACAGTTAGGTTTTCCCATGGAACGGCTGCATTATACTAAGCCTTGAAACAACAAAAATCCATTTCTAGTTTAAAAAATCAACCACATGCCTTTTTGGAATCAAAGTTTTTTTTTTTTTTCGAAAATCCAGCATGATTTCCCCTTAAAAATTGACATTTACAAAATTTCTCCTAACACAATAAACACAATGGACACCGCCCACAAAATTAATTCAACAAGGGACACCGCCCACAAAATTCATTCAATCAATTCAATAAGGACACCGTCCACAAAATTAATCAAAATTAATTCAACAAGGGCCCAAGGGGCACTGCTCACAAAATTCATTCAATCAATTCAATAAGGGACACCGCCCGCAAAATTAATCCACAAATCCAAGTAAAATTGCCCCTTCTCCATCTATATCTAACCTTTTTTCAGGCTAAGTTGCAAATTTGGAGTACAAATGACCTCATGCAAAACCAAACATGTGAATAACATTAGAGAAAAACAAAATAACACGTGATAAATTGAATTAGACCAAATCAAATCATATAATTCAATAGCGCTATCATTTGCTTATAAAGAATTTCTTAACACTTTTGAATTATTTTTTTCACATAAAAAGAGTTCATGAATCTATAATAATTCATACAACACATGAAAATTAATTCCAAAAACAAATAGTACATTTTAGTTCAATTCATACTCACATGAATAATCAAATATTATCTAATTGATTCATCTATATCTATACTATTCTAAAAGTGTGTAAGAATTTCTTAACACTTTTAATCTTTCCTAAGCTGACACTTAATGAAAGCCAATGATGTTATGCTAGATAGTCATCTCTTGTCCCAATGACATGGTCCAACATTAAATATGTGTGTGTGAGAGAGAGAGAGAGAGAGAGAGAGAGATATGCTGTCCTCATATTCATATGTGGTTAGGGTATAATTCAGCTAAAAGAAATTTTATCTAGTATTGGACATTCCATGTGATACATACCATCATGTTTTAATAGAGGACAGTTCAAGTCTGTAATAAACCATGTTAATCACGCATTAAGAGATATTACATCAAATGATGATGAAGGAGCAGTTTCTATATACAAGGAATTTGAATTTTGATCAGATATAAAATTTAATTTTAAATTAATTATTCAAAATTAATTCATATATCACATAATCTATCTATTTCATAAGTGATAAGAATCCTTCAAATTCAAATTCAAAATTCATTACACGAACCATCCTCTGGTCTGTCCCTTTAATGTATCATAAATATTAAATAGGGCTTATTGGATGCAATAACACACACACACACACAAACACACACACATATATATAAATGTTGTAGCTCATAAATTTACTAGGTAACACTATAAATTTAGATGTCACATGAATAAATCTCCATAATCTTAAATTTCTTTCAAAAACTTCAATGTGGCTTAAAATAAAATCTATGTTGTACAAATATATATACACACACACAGGCGCTTAAAAAAGACTATCAAAATCAAGATAAATACATTGGAAGCAGCATTATTGGTTGTTAAAATGTCCTTTTAACAAATTTAAAAGAAATACACATGAATACTTAAATCGACATAACTTTAAACTTTTTTTTCAGAAAATTACATAACCTTAAACTTGTTTCAAACACTTCAATATGACTTAAATATATATATATATATACACACACACACGATTAAAACCTGATAACGATTGCATTTCAAAATCAAGATAAAAATGGATTTGGCATCATTATTGGTTGTTAGGATGTCCCTTTTACAATTTGAAAAGCAATTGGAGCATAGAATTGAATTATGAGAATGCAACAATATCTATTCAACATTGATTCCTTATCTATCAAAATATATAATTTGAAACTTAAGAAACGACATTTGTGGTCTATCCATACATGCATTGTACTACATTTGGTTTGAATGATACTTTATAAATTTTCATAAGTTGCTGAAATAGGCTTTACTTTTTAGCTATAAAATTAAAATCCAGTTATGAAATTATGCACTCCCATTTCTATATACATGGAATTATGGAACTATAGTTATTCATCATTTTAAAGAATCTGGATTTTGCTACTGTATATATATAGAGAGAGAGAGAAAGAGGGAAAGAGCACCTGAAAGAGCGTCGATCTGTGGTTGCGAAGAACTCTAGGGTTTCAGATTCGGGTCACACAAATACATAACAGAGAGAGGATTGAGCTGAAAACCAAGTACGGAAGGATTGATCGATCTGTAGCCTAGCAACGACCTGTGCGAAGACCTGCGCGAAGTTGTAAGGAAAAGGAAGAAGAATCGTATATGTTATCGCCTCCAAGGACCTGCGCGAAGAGAGAGAAAATGAGAGAGGGTTCAGATATGTATAATGTAACGAGAGAGGGTTGAGATTGAAACCAAATACTGGAGGATTGATAGATTTGAAGCTACGAAGGTGTAAGGAAAAGGATGTCGAATACTTGTCACCCATGAAATTGCCTCCAAAGGAGCTGCGCGATGAGAGAGAAAATGACGATGAAAAATGGCAGGTTTTCTGATATGCGATTTTTTTTTTATTTGATATCACCGCTAAAGTTAAATGAGGGTTGATATGGTTTTGGTTTGGGTTGATATGGCCGCTATAGTATACCATATCACCCAATATCAACAATTCTTTGATATGGGGCTTGGCCCAAATCTCATAATGTTTTTACACTGTTCAATACCACATCAGCCCACTCCAAATATGATATTGGCCAAAAAATGAAATCAAAACATGAAAACAATAATAGATATGGGCCTCCAAACAGACCCTAAATTGTTAGTGGCCATTGTGAGAATGAAACATTACACCACTGCGATTTCTTTGCTTAAGCAAATGGAGTCCTCAGGAATAGCTGAGCCAGACGCTTATACTATGTGCATCCAGTGACGGAGCCAGGATTTCAAGTGAGGAGGCACACTGCCAAAAAAAAAAAAAATAGTATGGATATATATATATATATGTGTATATATAACAACTATAAAATTCAAAAAGATAAAGAAGAAGAAAATTATTAAAATATAAGAGGAAAGAAAAATGAAAGAACGTTAATAGAAAATAGTTAAAAAGTTTCAATTGAAAAAGAAAATTTTGACTTTTTCTCCTAGGGTTAATTTGGTTAGCGTGAATTAGCGAGAAAGGAAAAGAAACAGAAAATTTTTAAGATTTTTAGCCGTTTGATTAGCGTCAAAAGGAAAGTTTTCAGGAAAGTAATATTCCCGCAACTGCTTGATTTTCCTCAAAATGTTTCCTCTATAAAACACTATATCATTATATATTAATTTCCTCTTATACCTTTGTGTAAAATGTTTCTTTTTGATTCTTCATACTCACAAAAGGAGAGTTTTTTTTACCCAAATTAATACTCCTAAATTAATTAGAACTCTTTTATTCTTGAAATTAAAATTTTTCGCTACACTTACAAAACAAAGTAAACTAATCTAATAGCAGAGTCCTAATATAAAATGAAAACTTCCAAAGAAAAAAAAAAAAAAAAACTATATAAAGACACATACATATCTAGACATATATATTTATTTATAAATCCAATTATATATATTATTTTATCACTATTTTTATTATTATAAAATTCATAAGGGCAATTTAATTGTATATATTATTTTACTAATATTATTATTATTTAATTGTACATATATATTATTATTTTACTATTAAATTCATAAGGGTAATTTTGACATATAAAATCATTTTCCTTTCATTCTCTTAATATCCAAACTAATTAAACAACATTTTCTCACAAGTTTCTTCAAAAAAATTCTTGCTAACCAAATGTATAATAAAAAACTAATTTTCTTTTCTTTCACTTCACTTTCCTTTCTTTTACTTTCCACCATCAATTTCTATCTAACCAAACGGACCCCTAAGGAAATTTAAGGAATGTGAGAGTAAAAGAGAAAATAAAGAAAAAATAAGAATATAATTTTAGGAACTACAAATTTGAGGGGAGCACTATATAAATTTTTTCATATATATGGAATTTTTTTTTTAAATCACCACATATGTTATAGGTTACTGGCCAACTCGTGCCCCCCCCCCCCCAGGCCTTTATTGGCTCCGTCCATGTGTGCATCTTGACGAATTGTTACTGTTAACACCCAAATTTGACCCACATTCATATACAAGTTATTTTTTGCATTTTTGGGACCAACAACAATGAAAGGGTGACCTTTTAGTTTTATTTTGGTGAAACTCCCTATCATATTGAAACACCCATATGTTACGTAGCTATCAAATGATGATATTACAAGAATTGGGTAAAGTTGAAAAGTGAGCTTTTAGTTTGACCAATATTAATATGCAATGTAAGGAAAATCCAAAATCTTAGGCAACACACTTTCATAGTTTCCTTATCTAAGTGTGAATAATGAGCAACGTGATGACATGGCACACATCAAGCAATGGTAACATGGTTGGTGCTTTGGAGAGAAATTCACTATAAATATCCAACCAAGACTATAAGTAAGAGGGCCCCCCCAAAGAAAAAACCAACATTATGCTTCTATTTCTTATCTCCTTTAGGCCATTGGCCTTTTTTATTTTCTCTTAGCAATAGTTCATAGTGTAGTTTTATAACTCATCTTCTATTTAGTTCATCAGCTTTCATGTAAACTTATCGTAGTCGTTGTCTTACTCTTTAGTATTAGTTGATTATCAATGTTTCCACTTTTATTTCCCATGCTCTAGTTTCTGTTACATTCTAGTTTGTACTTTGTATTTTCATTAGATACTAATGAAATATCACTTTGTTTTAACAACAAGATGTATTCGTTCAATTTGTCACCATTATTTTCTCCTTCATTTTACTCTTCGCATCATCTTCATCAACCATTTGAGGAAATTTTAAGTCCTTGTTACCAAGGCAATGCTAACCCAATATGAGGTGTTTCCCCGCCTCCTCACAGTCGCCTAACCAATTTTCAGGACTAATCCAACATGGGGAATATGGTTCGGCTCATACCCTGAGTTCGGGTCAAGGACTCTAGCACGCCCGCACTTCTCAAGAGCCGAAAATTGTGCAAACAGTTACTGCCATTGAATTGGGTCGATTTGGGTTTCTCTGTTTTGGCTCGATCTTTGAAGCTTGGTTATGAAGTGGACTATACAATGCTCACCACTTTGATGAGGGGACTTTGTAGAGAGGATAAAATAGGTCAGGGAGTAAAGTTGTTTAATGACATGGGGGCAAAAGGATTTCAACCTCATACAGTTACTTGCGGAAAGATTATAGATGGTTTGTGCAAAACGGGGAACACTAGAGTGGCTATTGAGTTGGTTAATAAGATGGAAGAGAGAAATTGGGTAGCTGATGTTTTTCATTATAGTATGATCATTGACAGTCTTTGAAAGGATAGACTGGTAGCTGAGGCTTTTGACTTTTTACAAATGATACATAATGGCATTTCGCCAGATGTTATCACTTACAACAACTTAATCCTTTGCCTATGCAATTCAAACCAGTGGAAAGAGGCTACAAGATTATTGAATGAAATGGTGAACCAAAAAATCAAACCGAATGTAAGAACCTTCACTATATTGGTGAATGCACTTTGTAAGGTGTTGATAGCTATCTTGAGGTTTGCTATTGTTTGCTATTGTTTGCTATTATTGATAGCTATCCTAAAGTTTGCTCTTTTAATGACACAAAAGGGATGTACTATCTATCTTCTGGGGGCAATCTTAAAAGTACTATGGCCAACAATGCTTCATTATAATTGTACTAACAGCTTTATTCTTCTCAAGCTAAAGAATAAGCAAATTCTGGTATACCTGCAAAGTGGCATGATCAGGGGCATTTATGTAACTTCACAGTGATCCTCAAAGGTGTTATGGTGTGCACAACATTTTGGAAGAAGGCTTTGTTCTCTAAAGAATACACATCACAATAGAATCAGGTTTTTAAGGGTTGTCTTTTATATGCTTGACATGTGTAGTGTAAAAGGGGTTTTTGGTAATTTTGTAAAGAGGCTACCAGGTATGGGCACGTGGAGTGTTGTGGTCCTTATGAGAGAGTGTATTGATAGCTACATAGTGTGTGAGTGTAATATTGCAGCTGGTGTATTTACATATATATATTTGAGGACTAACAATGCTGTCAGCTGCAAGCCAAAAGGTGAGTTGGCAAGGGTATAAAGGTATTGTCACCTCTACAATGTCAGATTTGCTCTCCTCATGGATTGGAGGTCCTCAGCTCAATCCTATTCATTGATTTTAGGGCTGCATCATCATTGGTTTGAATATAAAAATCAATGCTACAGCTGCAGCTAGGTTTAAGGCCTGAAAATTCATTCTCTATACAAAAAAGAGGTTGTTCTTGAGAAAAACATGAAGAAGTGCTAAATGTTTATTTTTTAGCAGTGATTTATCTATGTAAGCTAAGTATAAATCTCAGAAAATACTGTGTGTGAAAAAACTCTTGAAGATTTGCTGAGAATTGAGTGTTGCTAAGGTTTAAAGGGCTGTCAAAGGCTGTTTTGGAGGGTCAAGTCTGGTTCTAAAAGCTAGTGAAGTTAAGTGAAGGTTGAAGCATGCTCAATACTCCTATTTACATCTGCTAAAGCCAGGTATTAACTCAAATACACATAACTGCAGAATAAGTTACTTCAGAGCCTGTTATTTGAGTATTTTATGGTGTAATAGCTGCTGTGGTGATGTGTTGATTTGTCTAATTGAGGACCTTGAAGCTAACTACTGAGCATGATTTAATTGATAGTCTGAAGCTATTAAAGTAGGATTCAACTCAGGAAATTGGCTGTTTTGAGTATTGACCTTAAAAACCAATCCTCACTAGGGTTTTAACCTTGTTGACTGAGATTTGAGAACTGATAAACAGACATCATGTTTCTATCACTGAAATCTTCATTTGAACATGAATATAAAGCGTAAACAAGAGTGTAAGAAGCTGAACAAGTCCTGAGCAAATTCAAAATTCCAGGTTTACCCTTAAAATTGTGGTGGTGTTGTTTTCAGCCTAAAATAGTCTGCTGTGTATTGTAATCTCCTAAATTGTGTACTAATCTGTTGTAACTTGCTTTGTTCTTGAATCTAATGTGTTGATCAAGTATAAAGTAAAGTTTGGGAGCAAATATTGCTGAGGTTTGAACTGAACAGAGGAGCTACATTGGTTGAGTATTGTGTTGCTGACAGATGAATCTCATTTACAAAATATAAACTGTTTTAAGGATGACATTGTTCTATCTTGCTTTGATTATTGTGTACATCATTTGAGCAAGTGTGTTCTGAGTTTATAAAGCTGTGAAGACAGAAAAAGGGGCCCTTAGTGGAGATATTCTGTAAGTTGACTGAAATACCCTCAGAATTGAATGAAGATTTTAATTGAGCTGAATTGTTGAAGGAACTTGCTATTCATTGTCCAATTCTTATTTGAGCAAGTTTTTTGAGCTAAACCAAGACTGTGGGAACCTAGTGTGATTATCAGTTGAAGCTGCATTGTGAATTGACAGTTGTATCCTTCAAGTGCAGAGAAGAGTTTACTAGAGTTTCTCATTGAACGTACTTAAAGCTGTGTATCAATCTTATCTTGTGGTGCAGTTGTAATATGTTGTAATTGGTGTATTGACACCTCTGGTAAATGGTTGTGGGGCTTTGATACCTCACCCCATTGTTGATTAAACTGTTAAGAGCTTTGGTGTCCAAGCTAGGTTGCCTAGGACATGGGGAGTGCATGTGTGCACATTGGTGAGCTAGTGTGTGAGTATTGGTTGTGAAACTAGTGTCTTGACTGGTACAAGGTGTGTACGGAGAGTGAGACAGTTGAGTGTGTAACAAAGTACTTGCAGCTAGTGGATTTTTTATTGGCAGAGGCCAAGAACCAAGGTTTTCCCTATTGAGAGGGTTTCCTTGTAAATCTTGTGTTGTGGCGTGCTTATGTTGTTCTTGTTCTCTTGAATATGTTTTGATTTTTAAGTCTGCTTGAAAAACAGAGAGAATTTACTTAGACCAATTCACCCCCTCCCCCTCTTGGTCTAACATAAGGAAGGGAAGCTTGAAGAAGCAGTAGAAATAGTTGAATTGATGATTCAAAGAGGTGAGCAGCCTGATGTAGTCACTTACAATTCATTGATGGACGGTTATTGTTTGCAAAGCAAATTTCATGAGGCAAAGAAGATATTTGATTTGATGTTTGGTAGGGGTTGTTCCCCTAGTATTCATAGCTATACCATTTTAATTTATGGATATTGTACGAAGCAAAGAATGGATGATGCTCTTAGATTTTTTCACGAAATTTCTCGGATGGGATTGGTTCCTAATAATGTTACTTACACTACTCTTATAGGTGGTTTCTACCGTGCAGGAAAACCTGTAGTTGCGTAACAACTTTTGAATGAGATGCGAACCCATGGCCAACATCCTAATTTTATAACATTTCGTACTTTGTTAGATGGATTGTGTAAGAACCAATGTCTGGCCGAGGCAATGAACTTGTTTCAAGACATTGAAGAATGTGGACTGCATCCTGATATTATGGTTTACAACATCCTCATTGATGGTATGTGCAGAGCTGGATGCATTAAAGATGCAAGGGAACTCTTTTATAGTCTTCCTTCCAAAAGGTTTCAACCTAATGTTTCCATATATAGTATTATGATCAATGGATCAGGAAGGGTTGTTAAGCGAAGCAAACATGTTGTTTAAGAAAATACAAGGGAATGGTTGGTCACCAGATGGTTGCACTTACAATATAATTGTGCAAGGATTTCTTCGAAACAATGAGACGTTAATGGCAATGCAACTTCTTCAAGAAATGGTTGAGAAGGGGTTTTGTGCCGATTCAGGTACTGCGAGCCTTTTGTTGGATTTATCAAATAATAGTGGATTGGATCAGTCAGTTTTGGAGATGCTCAATAAGTTTATATGATCTCTATTGGGTTCTCTTATGTTAGGTGGAAGATTCATATTTGTTGGCCTTGCAGTGTGCTGTATGTATGGCTTATTGATGCTTGCATTAGTGTGTCTTCTTCATGTTTTAGGGGCAAAATTGTTGTTCCATGAGAAGTACGAAGGAGAGAACCTGAGTTGAGTGACGTTAGGGAACTTAAGAAGAATACTGGAGGGATTTGTATGAAACTGATTGTTGCTGAAGCATATGGGAATGGTGTTTCAATGGCCCCAAAGAGATACGAGTTTCTAAGCTTTGAAATTTACCAAAGACTTTGTGCTTATCATCTCTGCCTTTGAGTAGAAATATATAAAAAGAAGAGAAAGGAGAGAATTGCATAAAGGCTTGAATGATATGAATTACTCATTAACAACTCTAGTATTTATAGATAAAATGAGCACTTGCTCATATTACAAGAAAGGAAACTAAATCAAATCAAAATCAAATCACAACTTATTCTAAAGCATATTTTATGGCATATTCTATAGCGTAGTCAAATCTCTACTATTATGGTAAGTCATACCATAAATCGTGGTATCATATATGCTAACACTCCCCCTCAAGTTGGTGCGTGGATATCTGAAACGCCCAACTTGGACAATACATTCTCAAACACAATCTTGCTGATGCCCTTTGTAAGAATGTCTGCAAGCTGTTGAGAGCTTGTGACAAATGGAGTGCAAATTTGACCAGAGATGATCTTCTCTCGAATGAAGTGACGGTCCACCTCTATATGCTTAGTCCTGTCATGCTGAATGGGATTTGCTGCTATGCTAATGGCAGACTTGTTGTCGCAGTAGAGTGAGAATAGAAGCGACACTGGAAGGCACAAGTCTGTCATCAAGGTTTTCAGCCAAAGCAACTCACCAACCCCAAGAGCCATAGCCCAACACTCTGCCTCTGCACTGGATCGAGAGACAACATCCTGCTTCTTACTGCGCCAAGTAACCAAGTTACCACCAATAGTGGTACAATAACCTGAAGTAGACCTCTTATCTAAAATTGATCCTGCATAATCAGCATCTGTCCAACCTCAACACGTAAGTGACCAGGATTGGCAAACAAAATACCACGGCCTGGACACCCTTTTAAGTAGCGAAGGATCCGAATAACTGCATCAAGGTGAGGGGCACGAGGAGAGTGCATGAATTGACTCACAACACTCACGGCATAAACAATGTCAGGTCGAGTCATGGATAAATAGATGAGCTTCCCCACAAGTCGTTGATACTGACCAATATCTGACAACAACTCCCCCTCAGAATCAGCCAACCGATGATTCTGCTCAACCGGAGTATCAGCAGGATGAGCACCAGGCTGACCAGAAGCAAAAAGCAAGTCAAGAACATACTTGCATTAAGAGATGAAAATGCCAGTCTTGGAGCAAGCCACCTCAATGCCCAAGAAGTACAGTAGGGGACCAAGATCCTTAATATCAAACTGACGGCCAAGATAGCTCTTAACCTCATCAATTCCAGTAGTATCATCGTCAGTAAGACCAATATCATCAACATACACAATAAGAGCAACTGTCTTACCGCCTGAATGACGTAAAAATAAGGTATGATCAGCTGCACTTTGATGGAAACCAAATTTGAGCATAGCAATGCCAAAACGATCAGACTAAGCTCGAGGAGACTGCTTGAGGCCATACAGAGAACGACGAAAATGACATACCATACCAGAATGAGCAGGAGAACGAAAGCCCAGAGGAAGAACCATGTACACCTCCTCCTGTAAATCACCATTGAGAAAGGCATTCTTGACATCTAACTGAAATAAAGGCCAAGATTGAATTGCAGCAACAAAAAATAATACACAGATGGTATTTATCTTGGCAACAGGGGCAAAAGTCTCCTGATAATCTATGCCATAAGTTTGAGCATAACCCTTGGCAACCAATCGGGCCTTATAATGAGCAACTGACCCATCTGGATTATGCTTAAGTGTAAACACCCAATGACAACTCATAGTCTTTCACCCAATAGGAAATGGAACCATATCCCAAGTCTGATTTTTCTCAAGTGCTTGTTGTTCTTCTATCATAGCATCACACCATTGAGGTTGTGCTAGTGCATCTGCAACACTAGAAGGAATAGGAACCGAGGCAACAAAAACAAGAAAACTCCGATAGGAGGGTGAGAGAGCATAATCAGAAACAAAATTAGAAATAGGGTAAGTACAAGAACGTTTACCCTTTTGAAGAGCAATGGGGCGATCATTAAACAAAACAATAGCTTAAAAAGGCGGAGCTGGTGTCGAAGGAATAGGGCAGTTGATTGTGGGAGTAGAAACTTGTACCTGTTGTCCCCGACTATAAACCTGTGAAAAAGGAACAATTCCCCCTACTGGAGGGGTATCACAAGGAGGAATCATAGAAGAAGAAATAGGTAATGGTAGAGGAGTTAAAGACAGAAGAAGATGATCATCCATTATATTCAATGGGAACCATTCACTCTAAGAACCAACTGAACCACTATAGTATGGTGTATGCTCAAAGAAAGAAACATCAATGGATATAAACCGCTGACGACTGGGAGGATGGTAACACCTATAACCTTTTTGAGAGTTAGAATAGCCCAAAAACATACACTTCAAAACTTAGGGTCAAGCTTTGTACGAGTCTACCCCAACTGCTGAACAAAGCACACACACCCGAAGACTCACGAAGGAATAAAAAAAAAGATGAATTGGGATGTAAGATTGAGAGTGGGGCTGCAAAGTTAAGAATCCTATAAGGAGTCCTATTAATGACGTAAACAACGGTAAGAACTGCATCTCCCCAAAATGACTGGGGAACATTCATGCCAATGCAGATTGCTCTGGCTAAGTCAAGGATGTGGCGATTCTTTCTCTCAGAACGACCATTCTATTGAGGAGTTTTAACATTACCCATCTGATGCTCAATCCCAAATTCTGTACATAACCGTTGTACCTCCTTATAAATGTACTCTGTACTCTGGTCAAATAGGAAATTTTTAATGATATGACCATATTAAGTTTGAACCATTGTTATAAATTTTTTAAAAATGGTGTATACCTCATTTTTGGTTTTCATAAGATAAACCCAAGTAACACGACTATGATCATCAATGAACAACACGAAATATCGAAATCCAAGACTAGAAGTAATTGGGCAAGGACCCCACACATCTGAATGAACAAGATCAAAAGGTGTTAAAGCAGATTTATTACTACTAGCAGGATAATTGGAACGAACATGTTTAGCCATATGACATGTTTCACAGGATAAATCTGACACTGCCACGTTACAAAATAAGGAAAGAAATAAATGTTTCAAATAACCAAAAGAAATATTTCCTAGACGTATGTGCCAACGCATAAGCTGGGCTTTATTAGATGAAACAATATTAGAAAATGAAGTTGAATGTGCTTAAGGTGACAAAGGAGCCTCCAACAGGTATAAACCGTCCACTTCATGCCCACTGCTAATCGTCCATTTCGACACCAGATCCTGAAAATTACAATGAGAGAGAAAGAATGTTACACTACAATCTAATTGTTTGGTAACGCTACTAACAGGAATAAGATTTGTAGCTAACTTTGGAACATGAAGTGTATTTGACAAAGTTAATGAAGGAGTAACTGATATGTGACCTTCCTAACAATGGAAGATGGAGAGCCATTTGCAAGGTGGACCTTGCGTTGGCTAGAGCAGATACTATAAGATTGGAAGAGTGAGGACATACCAGTCATATTGTCTGAAGCACCAGAATTAATGATCCATGGTGTTGAAGATGTAGATACGCTATGTACAGACGCAATAGTACCTAAGTGAGCATAAGTGGAGGTTGGCTGAGATGATGCCTCCATTTGGTTGAAGAATTGCTTGAACTTGTCCAAATCAGCTTGAGTCAGGGTAACTGTGGCAGAAGATGTAGAGGCAGGGTTGTCAGGAGTTGACAACAAAACTAGTTGTGTAACAGAATGTGAAGATGATCGAGGCTGTTGTCTCTGTTACGGTGGACGTCCATGTAGAGCATAACAACAAGATTTGATGTGACCAATTTTTTTGCAATGATCACACCATCCACGTTGTCGTCCCAGAGGAGGACTGGTGGTAGTGCTCTGAATTGACTGGGATGGTGAAGTTCCAGAAAGGTTGGGAACCCGAACTACCATAGCAAAATGATCAATAGAAGTAACACCTAAGAGATGAGTCTGGCGGCTCTCATCTGACAACACATAGGATTATGCATCCTCAAGAGTAGGGAATGAAGATAAGCCCAATAAATGAACACGAGCATACTCAAAACTCATCATTCAACCCGGCAAGAAACTGAAACACTCGATTCTTCTCCACAGTTCCTGTATATAGAACTGCATCATCTAGATCCTTCCAAGAATGGAAAGAATCATAATATGACATCTCTTCCCAAATAGCACGAAGCTAGGCAATGTAACCTGAAACTGT